CATCATTATTAGTAACTGGGTTATTACCGTTAAATTATTGTATATTGCAATTACCCTTTTTTAATGTCTTGTAATGTTCCACAGGGTGAAAAAATCCATGAGGAGATATTTGATATTATTGATAGAGAAGCTGATGGCAGTGACAGCTTGGAGGTGAGTGCCAGTTTACCCCATTCAGAATAGAATGTGACGATGTTTTTAAAACAGACTACTCGTTATTTTCATATTAGTAAACGGAGTTGTGTGATTGTGGTAAAGGTTGTAATCCTTCTGTGAATAATATTTTATTTAAAGCCTGGAAATCAGCTAAAATGTCCAGGTCTTCCTGTCCTATTAGTGACTATTAAAACACTTGTTTTACCTGTATCTGTTATTTTATGTCTAAGTTCACTGAAGCAGTAACTTGATATGAAATGCTTAATTTTTTTGTACAATATTTTGGTTTCTGTATTGCAGGGGTTTGTGCTGTGCCACTCCATAGCAGGGGGAACAGGCTCAGGCCTGGGTTCCTATTTGTTGGAAAAACTCAATGACAGGTATTGTAGTTCACATCAGACAGCTACATAATAGTAACACAGTTAATTATACAATTTCTCACTTTTCAGAGTTAACTTTACACGTGTGCTTGAATATATGCAACTTGTTGTTAATTGGCAAATTGGAATGAGCTTTGTAAATATTTTTGCAGGTTCCCAAAGAAGTTGATCCAGACATACTCTGTGTTCCCGAACCAGGATGAGATGAGCGATGTGGTGGTGCAGCCGTACAACTCCCTGCTCACGCTTAAACGACTCACTCAGAATGCCGATTGTGTGGTACATGTGGATCACCACCTCTGCATATTCATTTCGTTGACATTTGTTGGCCCTGAAGTAACTTACATTAAAATGATTGTATTTTTATATTTCACCTTTAGGTTGTGCTGGATAACACAGCCCTAAACAGGATAGCCACAGACAGACTGCACATACAGAATCCTTCCTTCTCTCAAATCAACCAGCTGGTAAGTAGTTTGCATCATATTGTTGATGCTTGAGTCTTAGACTTGGAATTAGTATCAAGTATTTATCAACAGGAACTTTTCGATTTGAATTCAAAAGTAACGATGCACCTTACCAAATCAATATATGGGCAGTCGCACCATAAGCCTAAACTCTAGTTGGATCTTGATTTGAAGCTTTTGTGACTGCAGGAATCCATACTCTTTGGTTCTTTCGGTAAAGTCACGTAGGTAGAAAATAAATCACGATGTTTCGGGCGCAACACAAGCGTCCGTCATCAGGTGGGAAAGCATGGCCTGCTGCTGATGCAGACTGTTTTGTTGCGCCCGAAACCTCTAGTTGGATGACATTGATGTGGGGTCCTCTGTGTTTTGTTGCTTACTGAGCTAATGCAAATGTATTTTTTTCAAACTAGGTGTCGACTATCATGTCCGCCAGCACCACCACTTTGCGCTACCCAGGCTACATGAACAATGACCTCATCGGCCTCATTGCCTCCCTCATTCCAACCCCCCGTCTGCACTTCCTCATGACTGGCTACACACCCCTTACGACGGATCAGTCGGTAAGCTGGCACATGCCCTCAACCAGGCTCATGTCCCCATGCCTGCTTAAATATTTTTTTATTCAACTGTTTTATTTGGTGTGTTATTGTCCTGAGAAATAAAACATAAAGGGTCCTAATAATTTGTCCAAAAGTTAAATATGCCTAGTACTGATCCATACGACAGAGACAGTAGATAATTGATGCATGGCTGCCTAATGGTGTAATGTTTTGTATTGTTTGCTAACATGCTTACTGAAAAATCACTAGGAAAGGTTTTTAAGGAAACAAGTGGAGCGCACAGCAACTAAGATGGTACCCATATAGTGCTGTATACAAAGTATTTTATGCAATCTTTACATTTTAAAGATTGTGTTTCTTAAGTGATGGGAATGCATGGTTTGCCGTGTTTGAAAACATGCAGAAAAAAGGCAATTCCTTGACCTTAACGTTATTTTATATAAATTATAACTGGTCAATATGACCTTTGAATCAAGATAGAAAAATTATGTACGTATTGTTTAAACATTTATTTTAACATGTATGTTCGAGAGGTTATATTTTATTAAGTGTTTACAAATGACAATGGTTATGGATGTGTTTTAGTGCTCAATCATGCAATGTTTCTCTCACGTAATATGGAAATGTTTTACACCACCAGGTGGCGAGTGTGCGCAAGACGACGGTTTTAGATGTAATGAGAAGACTACTGCAGCCAAAGAATGTGATGGTTTCCACTGGCCGTGACCGCCAAACCAACCACTGCTATATTGCCATTCTCAACATCATACAGGGAGAAGTAGACCCAACACAGGTAAAGTCAGGCTTCTTAAGTCATACACATGTACACTGCTCAGACCTAAATGTACTGAATCGAAAACAAACCCAAAATGTTTACGAATTAACGATTGTGCTTGCACAGGTGCACAAAAGTCTGCAACGGATTCGGGAGCGGAAGCTTGCAAACTTCATCCCGTGGGGCCCGGCCAGTATCCAGGTGGCCTTGTCACGCAAGTCACCTTATCTCACTTCTGCGCATCGTGTCAGCGGCCTCATGATGGCCAACCACACCAGTATTTCCTCTGTAAGTTTCTCACTGGAAGTGAGCATATAAAGTGCACACATATGTTACAGTTTAATGTGTGGGTGAATAAATAATAATTACAGTCCTTTGTGAATTGGCGGCGGGCGGCTGGATAAAGAGGCCTTCCCAGGCCACGCTGTCAAAGGTCTGATGTAATTAGCTGCCGTTTACTATAGCTGGAAATAACTGGTCGCCAGGTTCATAGTGCAGTGTGCTACCTGTGCCACAGCTCCCCCTAATGTGTCGTATTTAAACAAAACACATGAACAATGTAACTGCACAAGCCTGTTTTGTTGAAGTGTTGTTTGGCAGTATGTAATGACCACTTTACCTGTCTTGCAGTTGTTTGACAGAACGTGCAAACAGTACGACAAGCTGCGGAAACGCGAGGCATTTTTGGATCAGTTCCGCAAGGAAGACATGTTCAAAGAAGATTTGTCTGAATTTGATGATTCGCGTGAGGTCGTGCAGCAGCTCATTGATGAGTACCAGGCAGCCACACGGCCCGACTACATCTCCTGGGGTGCTCAGGCCTAATATAGGCATGGCAACACCTCTGTGAGTGACCTGATATAGGACTCAGTTTGATTTTTAATTAGCAAATGTCGATTAAAAAATGTTTTCCATTTTTGCCGAGTGGGTATAGCACGAACATTTTCAGGATTCAAGTTGATTATTTCAGTACTCACCACTGAGAAGCTAAGGTCTACATTTACAGCTCTTCTTTTTATATTGGTGTATATTTGTGATTATATTTGCTTTAAGGTTTATTAGATGCAATGGATACATGTCTGAAACTGTAGTGATGATATATAAACTAGGATTTAGGACAATGTGTGCATCTTCCAATAGAGTAATACCATGTGACCATGTGTAAAAATGCATTTATATCGTTTTTCTGTTAAGTTTTTAACGTGTTAAAAATGCACTGATGTCTAATAAAGTCCCCTAAATGCTTTGAATAGTTTAGACAAATTCTTCAAGAAAAATACAGTGAGGGAAAAAAGTATTTGATCCCCTGCTGATTTTGTACATTTGCCCACTGACAAAGAAATGATCAGTCTATAATTTTAATGGTAGGGTTATTTGAACAGTGAGAGACAGAATAACAACAACAAAAATCCAGAAAAACGCATGTCAAAAATGTTATAAATTGATTTGCATTTTAATGAGGGAAATAAGTATTTGACCCCTCTGCAAAACATGACTTAGTACTTGGTGGCAAAACCCTTGTTGGCAATCACAGAGGTCAGACGTTTCTTGTAGTTGGCCACCAGGTTTGCACACATCTCAGGAGGGATTTTGTCCCACTCTTTGCAGATCTTCAAGTCATTAAGGTTTCGAGGCTGACGTTTGGCAACTCGAACCTTCAGCTCCCTCCACAGATTTTCTATGGGATTAAGGTCTGGAGACTGGCTAGGCCACTTCAGGACCTTAATGTCCTTCTTCTTGAGCCACTCCTTTGTTGCCTTGGCCGTGTGTTTTGGGTCATTGTCATGCTGGAATACCCATCCACGACCCATTTTCAATGCCCTGGCTGAGGGAAGGAGGTTCTCACCCAAGATTTGACGGTACATGGCCCCGTCCAACCTTCCTAATGATGCTGTGAAATTGTCCTGTCCCCTTAGCAGAAAAACACCCCCAAAGCATGTTTCCACCTCCATGTTTGACGGTGGGGATGGTGTTCTTGGGGTCATAGGCAGCATTCCTCCTCCTCCAAACACGGCGAGTTGAGTTAATGCCAAAGAACTCCATTTTGGTCTCATCTGACGACAACACTTTCACCCAGTTGTCCTCTGAATCATTCAGATGTTCATTGGCAAACTTCAGACGGGCATGTATATGTGCTTTCTTGAGCAGGGGGACCTTGCGGGTGCTGCAGGATTTGTCCTTCACGGCGTAGTGTGTTACCAACTGTTTTCTTGGTGACTATGGTCCCAGCTGTCTTGAGATCATTGACAAGATCCTCCCGTGTAGTTCTGGGCTGATTCCTCACCTTTCTCATGATCATTGTAACTACACGAGGTGAGATCTTGCATGGAGCCCCAGGCCGAGGGAGATTGACAGTTCTTGTTCCATTTGCGAATAATCGCACCAACTGTTGTCACCTCTCACCAAGCTGCTTGGCGATGGTCTTGTAGCCCATTCGAGCCTTGTGTAGGTCTACAATGGTGTCCCTGACATCCTTGGAGAGCTCTTTGGTCTTGGCCATGGTGGAAAGTTTGGAATCTGATTGATTGCTTCTGTGAACAGGTGTCTTTTATACAGGTAACAAGCTGAGATTAGGAGCACTCCCTTTAAGAGTGTGCTCCTAATCTTAGCTCGTTGCCTGTATAAAAGAAGAATGCTGCAGCTGCTGCCCTCTTGGCAAGCCGGTACCTCTCAATCGAGTCGGGAGACCTTTTTCCAAGCATAGATCAGAAAGCCTCCAAATTACTGTGGGTGTATTTCTGGTCAATCTGCTTCTTAGTGGAGCTTAAATATCTTATCACATATAAAAACGAATATAGGCCACGTGATGTTTTCTATATTTGAAAAATTACTTAATTGGGAAGCAAAAAATTTGCCCCCTAATCGAAACTTGACAGGGTCGTCAACATTTTGACGGAGGTTGTACCGGAAATAATAAAAGTAACACATTTGAGGCTTAAGTCTGAAATAAATATTTTACTTGTTTTCAGTTAATGTGACGACAGTATTGTGTAAGCTTGCTGGAAGATACGTTAGTGTACACACGAAAGGAGGCTTACAAACATTTATACTTTATTTTATTTAAGGCAAACATCTGAAACAAAATATGGCTGCATTGTACTGCAGTTGAAGCAATTTTTGACAAAGCAAGCAAAACAGGAATATGAAAAAGTTATCAATGCCATTTCAAAACTAGGCACAGTATTCAAGTTATGCCAAGATATTACATTGTGGAAAATGTAAAGAATTATAAAATGCCAAACTCCACAAGATGTTATTTCCACAGTGCAATAATGCATTTCAAAATGCCAGATTTTTGGGCTTTTTCTAGTTTCCTTAACTTGTCCACTTCTCTGGTGTGTGATTCCAAAGTCCAGGACAAGCGATGCACCTGTACACGATTGCACTTTACATATCTATTAAACATTTAAATAAAAAAGTTACTTTATTCGAGTTTTTTTTATACAAAATGTGATTATCAAAAAACAGGGAATAAATAAGTAAACTCCCTGCAATTCATTTTGCAGAAATGCTGCCAGCAGCATATTTCACACGTCGGTCCAAACCTGGATGAGTCCCAGGAACGTATTGGCTTTGTAAACAAGAGTAAGGCTATGGCAGTGTAAACCATATAAAGCCTACCTGGTGCTGTTAAAACAACCGATTGTCAGCTGGCGCTATTTTGGGACAAAGACCCTTGTGCGATAAAGGGACTGGTGGGATTGCTGCAAGGCACTAGTTCATTTCTGGCACTTTGCATGAGGATATACGAGTGCAATGTTTTTAAACCTCAACAGTTGGGCTATAGCAGTCAACAGTGGTGAAAAGCAACACTGCATTGGCAGTGGGAACGATGGAAAGTGATTTTAAGTAGTCTATGCTGGTTCGTTTTACATGTACAACTCTGTTTTGCCAGGCATAAAAAGTAGAGATGATTAGGTAATAAAAGCTGGCCGACTTTAGGGAGCCATATCAGGCTTGTCAGTTACCACCTGTTTGGGTATGGAGCTGTTGCAGCGAGCATGACTTGCAGTTTTATTAATGACCAGTATTTCACAGGTTCAGTTTATATTTGTATGGTTTTGAATTGTCTGCATTTCATATTTTTTTGGACAAAGTTAAATTCAAAGGCTACATTTTAATATCATTGGTAATGCCTTGTTAATGTCTGTAGCAAGTGCTTTCTCAAATGAAAACTTAGTTTTCAATGAATAACCCAACAACACTTAATTCTCAATTTATTGCCCAACATATACAGCACTATCAATCCTACAGTACAGCGGTGTCGACTACATACTCAAGCACATCAAATAGTGACTTTGGGCTCAATTTCAAGTTCATTCCATCATGTTGCTTTGTGGAACCTCTTTCATTTCAGGAATTTACACATACTTGTAAACCATGTGGATAAGGCACTTACCAAGGTGCACTGTTCCCAGTATTTCAAACATGAGGCTTTATACAGTTTGTTTGTGTTGAGTTTTCATTTCCAGCGGATCGGGTAGAGGTATGAACTGATTAAAACTTAATTGAACCAAATAAAATATATTTATTTAACAACCGCAAAGACAATCGTCTGTCACGAGTTGGAAGGAGGCTGAGCAGTAACAATGCAGGAATATATCTCATAGATTGGTACCACTGAGACATGCGTCCTATTTGGCATTGTTTTACTCATTCTACTGCAACATTTGTACATTCTTTATTTAGCATCCCAGATCTCCCCTGCAAAAAGAGACTCGTGTCAATGGGCTCCCACCTGAAAGACCCACACGTGGGTGCTAGGCGAAGTAACCTCAATACATCTTATGAAATTAAATTACTCTGCGTTCCCTAGGTTAACTTTTACAGAGTTGGCTCTTCGAGTGCACGCTTTCCCCTTTACGCATGATGACATTGATATAAGCCTCCATTAACTTGGAGATTTCTGCCACCTGCAAAGAACAACACCAAAATAGTCACAAATATAATATTTATGGAAATTTCTAATGCACAACAATACAAGTGTCAGTTGCAAAGTCATCATACCCACCTCATTGGTTTGGAAGATAATCTCTTGTCCATCAATGATTAGCTGGAAGGTGGGAAGGAGGGGGGTGGAGATCAGGCTCTGGTGTGCATCATCGGCTGGGGGCGCCGCCCCAAAGGAGAGAATTCGTTCGTACGGGAAAGAAACAATTGGCTCGGCCTGGCCCCGCACGTACACCGACAAGGACTTCAAGCTGACGGCCAGCCACAGCTCACGCGGGAACTGCCCATCCGTGCACTGCGGCAAAGGGAAGAGAAATTGTCTCATTTTTCACCCAAAAACGTCTAGAACTTTAATTCAGAATTTTCCAACAATGTGGAAAGGAAGACAATCTTTAACTGACTTAGCCTTTTTAATCTTTAAAATGTGAATGTAGCTCAATCTGTGGAAATATTTTCTACACTATTTGGGTTCATTGCATATGCAAGCAATGCAGTCTCAGCCTGGGCAAGATGCTGTGCCAGCTGGGATTCCACCCACCTGCACATCAAAGAGAGTGGCACCGTAACCCGACCACTGCCGCACCAGCTGCATGTACTTGGCAACGGCCTGCTCAGGGTCCGTGTCGTGCAGGAGCCGCCACTTGGCCAGAATATCGGCTCGCAGTGTCAGCAGCTGCCCCCTGGCATCATGGTCTGCCCGCTCCTGCCGGTCCCGACGGGACCTCCTCAAGCGCAAGAAGGATCCGGCAGCCTCGCGCAAGCTTCTCCTAAGCAACCCTTCACCCCGTGTGCTCCTCTCCACAACCCGTACAGCAGTAGAGTCGGGAGGTGTTGGAACTGTAGGAATAAAATAAAAACTTAATGATTAAACGTTTGTGTTCAGTTTTGTTTTTGAAATTTCAAGGTCATCAATTTTGTTTTCATTAAGATACTAGTCCTGTGATGTCTACTTTTTGTCTGATGTAGCATACTCACTTGCTACTGAATTCATTGAATGAGAATCCGACTCCATAATGTGGAGTGGAGACTATAAGAAAACACCACCGCACTGTTTGGGAGTCTGGCTAGCCCAGGGGTTGGTGCACTCAAAGGTGAGCCAGTTTGAAGAGCGAGCGCAACACTTGTTTCTCACAACTAGCCAGTTGAGCTGCAGAGAATAAACGCTGAAGCAATGTCAACGACAAAAGCAAAGATTACGACCTCCATGACAATTCACAAGGGAGATCGGTGTGTTTCAAGTTCCTGGCCTAAATCCCAAAACTTGAAATTGCCTGAAACGAAGTTGTTTACTCCCCCACCCCTCCATGCAATAAAAACAATGAATCTAACTAGATTCTCGCCATGTTAGGGTAACGTATGTTGTAAAATGAAATAAAGTGACGCTATAAACTCACCCATGTCCTGGGAGAATGTGAACGGCCGGCTCACACTGCCAGGTGTGACTGGTGATGCTGGGGTAGTGGGCGTGCCGGTAGAGGTAGCGAGGGTGCTAATGGAGCTGGAGAGGAACATCTGTGAATGGCCCGTGGGGTAGAAGTCCTCCAGGTGCATCTCAAGCGGGGAGTTGGTGACGCAACTCGACGCTTCGGTCTCCACGGTGGCACAGTTGCCGTGAACAAACTGCAGCCTGAGCGCCGCCATCCACTGCAGGGTCTCGCCACTCACTGGGAATCGTCCCCGGGCCATGCTGTCATGGGCCTGGGGTAACACAGTGCAGCCAAGAATCATTCACACATGGAACATACGCTGCATATAACATGTAATAATGAAATCAGTGTGGCAGGACAGGCTAAGGGAACTGCGCAGGTGGTGTACCCCTGTAATCCAGCACTGGAGGTGTGGGTTGGTGGTTCGCACATTTGTTCCGTAACTCCCTTCCTGTTGGTGTTGAAGTGCCATACCCTGGGCTAGCCAGAAGGTGGTAGAGTAAAGCGCAAACTAATATCGTCTGTTCTTCCTGTATGGGATAGCGTTGCCCCATTCGAGTGGGTTTTCTTCCGTACTCAGGAATTGGTTGAGAACATCTTACGATATATACAGCTTCATATTTGTGACGTGTGGAGTATTGTGAGATGCTGTTTGCATGAATTACACTGTAAAAACGCTAATTATTTATTAACTAACCTGCTCAAACATGAATGCCATTTCAATGCTGTCTTCCTGAGCCACAACAGTGTCCAAAACAAGGTAGAGCTTGAAGAAAATTTTCCACTGGTTCTTATCCACACCCTCCCTGGTTGCTGCCAGCCTGCAGCACATGCAGTAAAGATACACACACACACACATCTTAACATCATGAGAAACAATACACATGCAGTAAAGATACACACACACACATCTTAATAACATCATGAGAAACAATACACTTTTAATCTTGATTTGAAGTTTTCGTGACTGCAGGAATCCATACTCTTTGGTTCTTTTGGTAAAGTCACGTAGGGAGAAAAAAATAATGACATTCCGATCGCAACACAAGCAATCGTCATCAGGTGGAAATATGCAACAGTAGAACTGCTGATTTTTTTTTTGCGATTTATTATTTTTTCTGCCTACGTGACTTTACCGAAAGAACCAAAGAGTATAATACACTTTTAGTTCTGCAGAATTTACAGCAAAAGCTCCATTATCTGGCATCCATGGGGAATGGAGGGTGCGGGTTAATTAAATGTCGATAATTATCTGAGTTATACTTATGGTTCACCAAATTTTACAAATAAATAAAACTTTTCAAGAAGTAAACCTAAACCTACAATTTAACCTCCAATTAGCACGGTTGGCTACGTATGTGTAGGGCTGTTACAGAGGGGCTGTTTGTGTAGGGCTGTTTGCATGGGAGCTAACGGATAACAAACACAGTGGGCGGGGACTCCGTGAGCACACGGGGTGGTGCCCGCAACGACGTCCGCACTGGACGGCGTGAGGGGGGTTTCGATCCTCTAGGGGGGTATAAAAAGGGATGAGCCAGAGAGCTCGGGGTTGAGTCTTAGAGTAGTTAAGGGAAGAAGGAAGACCGGCCAGATAGGCCCTGGACTCCCCCTGGGACGCCGCCCTTGTAAGGGCAGCGCAGGCTGGAGCCAGTGGCGTGGTCCCGGAACCAGAGTTAGTCCTCTGGGATTCCGGGTACCGTAGCCCGACTGACCAGTGTCGGGCCAGACAGCCTCCCCTAGCCCGTTAGTGGAGGACTCGGCTAGGAAGGCTAGTTAGAGGTGAATTCCCAGTTATACGGGTGAGGGGGCCGATACATCCCTCAGCGCTGTAAGACATTGTGTAAATAAATACGTGTGCCTTACTACGGTGTCCACGCGTCTTCAAGAGTACTTCATCTGGCGTCAGAAGAACTAAGAACATGGACACGCGCCAATCAGCTCGAGCCAAAGTACAGCAAATGGAAGACGCCGCCGAAATTGTCGAGCCCGAGATGGCTCAACAAGACAACGTGCAGCCGGGGCCGGACGCGTTCTTACCGAAGCGTCGGCATGAAGAGGAGCCGCGGACAGACGACCTGAGGCTGGCTCACGAGAGGCTGGCTGAACTGCTCTACGCCGCTGCCGCCACGCTAGAAAACATCACACGGCTGGGGGCTGGTGGTCCACCGCGGGGCGAGGGGAGCCGGCGTCCGGAGCGCCTTCCCGCCATTTCCGAAGATTCAAACTTCGAATTTCCCGCCATCGACGCGGCGACCGCTAGGGGCGTGGCCAACCTCAACCTGGGGTCCGACATCGGCCGCGCTGGGGCTGCCGCGTCAACGACGGAGGAGGGCGCGTCATCAAGGCTGCGACAGGCGATACCATCTGCCGTTCGCGCCGAGACACAGCCGAGTCGGGGAGACAGCAGCCCACGGGACTCCACGGCAACCGCTGCGCTGCACCAAAGGCTGCCTCCGCTTAAAGAATTCGTGGGCGCAGAGGGCGACTGGGGCGGCTTCCAAAGACGCTTCCTCGCCCACCAAGAAATGGCCAAATGGACAGACGCTGAAGCTCTCAGCGCGCTGCCGGCGCTCCTCGACGGCGACGCGCTCGCCGCCCTCACATCGGCGCCGAAGGAGAAGCGCTCTACGCTGCCGATGGCGCTGCAGCTGCTGGCCGGAGTCTACGGGCCTTCCGCGGAGTGTAGGCAGCAGTTCTACGACCGCCAGCGGGGCGCGAAGGAGTCGCCGCTGGCTTACAGAACAAGCCTCCTGGCGTTGGCCAAGACAGCCTTTCCTCGCATGGACGAGGACGGGGTCGACGCCATGGTAACTGAGAAAATCCTCCTGCTAGCAGACGACCTGGACATCGCCGTCGTGGCACAGGAGGATACAGAGATGACTTCTCTACAAGCGGCGCGACTCCTCCACGCCAACTTGCTGTCGCAGCGGCGGAAGGCCAGCAGGGCAGCGGCTGGGCGTGCGGTGGCGGCAGCCACCCTCCCGGCGGAGGAGGTCTTCGCCGTCAACCACCGTCGGCAGCAGGGGACGGGAGCACGGCCGGGCCGGGATGGGTCGAGCCGCTTCGACCGTCCGTCATCGCCGCCGCCGCTTCCGCGCTGCTTCAACTGCGGCGTCCGGGGCCATGTCGCCTCGGGATGCCGCTCTCCCCGACAGCGTGGGACGACGCCTCGCCAGGACGCCGGGCCTCCTCCTCCTCCCAAGCTTCATCAGCATGATCCGGCGAGTCGCGACACCACACATGTTTGGCCAACACACACACCTGTCGCACACTCTCGCATCGCAACGAATGGGGGGACGACGTCGCATCGCGACGGGCCGGCGCGTACCACTGTGGGGACTCGAATTGAGCCCGGGCAGTGGTCCGCGTTGGCCCATCGCGTTGTGGCCGCATCGTCAGGGTCGTCGGCCGTCGTGGGACTTATTGACGGGGTTGAGGTACGCATCCTGGTTGACACGGGGGCATCGGCGACCATTATTTCCGAATTGATTTACAACATTTTGCCTGTCCAAAGCCGTCCCTTACTACCAGTTAATGTCCCATTCTATGCGGCGAATGGGGGCTCCCTGGGTATTATTGGACAAATTCGAGCGCAAATTTGTATCGGGGATATCAAATTATCAGGCCCGATTTTTGTTTCCTCCTCACTGGCGGTTCCGTGCCTGCTGGGGACGGACTTCTTGGGTAAAATGCCGATCCGTATTTTAATAGACCAGGGATGTATTGAGCTCCCGTCGGGACGGCGCATGGCGTTTTTACCCTCCCCTTCGGTGATTCGGACGGCGTTCGTAACTATACCAGCGTCCGTCGTCGAAACCGTTCGTGTGCCGCCGGGGGCTCAGATGTTAGTACCTCTAAAACTTCGTCGGCCCTTCGCAGAGGGTATCGGGGCCCAGGGGATCCTGTTGGGACCGTCTAGGGCCGGGGTTAGTGGACCGCATTTGATTCCGGCCCTGACCGTTGTGAGGGGAGATGGGGACCCTTTCATCGCGGTCCTCAATGTGGGATCGCAACCTGTTGTGGTTCCTCGAGGGACGGTGCTTGCGCACGCGACGCCGATGCCCTGCGAGGAACCAGTTGCGAATCATGTCGGCACCACCACCCGACTGCACCCACATTCGGACAGCGATGACGGGTGGCTCGACGCGCTTTGTGCGGGATCGACGGACCTGTCAAATTCAGAGCGCCAACAGCTTAGATCACTACTGCAGGAATTTTCCGACGTTTTTAGTCGAAATAAATATGATTTGGGTTGCACTCATCTGCTGCGTCACCATATTGACACGGGTGACAGCGCGCCAATTCGCCAAAATCCGTTTCGGTTGAGTCCCGCCGAAAAGGACCATGTCAAATTGGCTGTGGATGACATGTTAGCTGCCGACATAATTTCTCCCTCTACCAGCCCTTGGGGAGCGCCGATCGTCCTGGTTAAAAAGCAGGACGGCTCGTTGCGGTTTTGCGTTGATTTTCGGCGCCTTAACAAAATCTCGGTTGCCGACGCATACCCGCTCCCACGGATGGACGAATCGCTGGACGCCTTGGCGGGAGCGCGATTTTTCTCCACGCTGGATTTACTTTCGGGATTCTGGCAGCTTCCTCTGGATGATGAATCGAAACCTAAAACTGCTTTCCGTACACCGCACGGCCTGTTCCAATTCAACCGGTTGCCGATGGGCTTACACTCAGCGCCGGCAACCTTCCAACGTTTGATGGAATTGGTTTTGGCTGGATTGCAATGGGAGTCGTGCCTGATTTATTTGGATGATGTTATTGTCTTCGCTAAAACTTTTGACGAACATCTCCAGAGGTTGCGGGCGGTTTTCCTAAAGATGCGGGCTGCTAATTTGAAGTTCAAGCCCCAAAAGTGTCATTTGTTACGCGATTCCGTGCGTTATTTGGGGCACATCGTAGGGCGCTCGGGTATTGCTACCGATCCCGCCAAAACGCAGTGTGTCAGCTCCTGGCCAACTCCCACCACGGTGGGAGAGGTCAGGAGTTTCGTCGGCTTCGCGTCATATTACAGACGGTTCGTCGCCGACTTTGCAACAATTGCCAAACCCCTACACGCATTAACATCAAAGGGGGTTCGGTTCCACTGGGGTCAAGAGGAGGAGGCTGCTTTTTGCTCCCTTCGGGACGCCTTGGTAAAAGCTCCTCCCTTGATCTACCCCGATTTTTCAAAGCCGTTCCTGCTCGACACCGATGCGAGCAACACGGGTATTGGGGGCGTGCTTTCCCAGGTGGTTGACGGCGTCGAACGGGTGGTTGCGTACGGCAGTCGGGTGTTGTCTCAAGCAGAGCAAAGATATTGTGTTACCCGCAGAGAACTGTTGGCAATTGTCTATTTCATCCAACAGTATCGCCCATATCTGTACGGTCGGCGTTTCACCGTCCGCACAGATCATGCGGCACTGCAGTACGCCCTGCGAGTTCAACAGCCATCGGGACAATTGTCCCGATGGTTGGAGATCCTCCAGGATTTTGATTTTGACACCACATACCGTAAGGGCGTCCGCCACACCAACGCGGACGCTCTGTCGCGCATGCCAACCACCTCGGAATGCGCGTGCCTCCTGGGGTCGGGACGTTGCAAACCAGCAGGGGACGGGTCAGTTCCGGGCCTTGCGGCCGCCGCCGACAGCGGGACAGTTGTTCTGAATTCCATTGAACAACAAGGGAAAGATTCCCTGCTGGGTTTGCACATTCAGGAATGGGGGCGCCTCCAGATGGAGGATACCTCCCTCCTCGCGTTGCGTCGTCGCGCCGGGGAGGCAGGGCGGGGATCGGGTGATGCCGACGCATGGGAAATGCACGGGGGGTTGCTGTTGCACTGGGACGGAAAATCCCACCGACACCGGCTGGTGGTCCCTTCGGGCTTACGGGGTAGGGTGGTGTGGGCTGCTCATGAGCGCCTCCTCCACCTGGGTACCCAAAAGACCCTCGCCTTGCTCCAGCGTGATTTCTTTTGGCAAGGCATGACAAGGGATGTCTCTGATCTGTTGGCTTCATGCCCGCGGTGTGCACAGCGAAAACCACCAGCGCGAGAATCTAACCCGCCCTTGCAGTCTATCAGGGTCTCCAGAGTAAACGAACTTGTCGCGCTGGACATTCTGGGCCCATTCCCCGCCACCCCTAGGGGAAACAGATACTTGTTAACCGGGGTCGAGTATTTTACACGCTGGCCTATGGCCTGGCCCCTGGCCAATCAGTCGGCAGCAGCCATCGTCGACGCCTTTGTCCAAGGCTATGTCATGGACAAAGGTGCCCCGGAGCGGCTGCTGACCGACCAGGGTAGAAATTTTTCCGGAAAACTCCTCCAACAGGTTTGTGAGCTCCTAGGAACGAAAAAGATTCGTACTTCCCCCTATCACCCGCAAACTGACGGGATGGTCGAGCGTCTGCATCGTACCATCTCGTCTATGTTATCACAGCAGGTTTCGGACTCACAGACTGATTGGGACTTGAAAATCCAAGGGGTCTTGGCAGCATACAGATTGGCCCCCCATGCTGCAACGGGATTTTCGCCATTCTTCCTCATGTATGGGCGCGACCCTGACCCACCCATTCGGGCGCAGCTGCAGATCCCCACACCACTGGGTAAAACTACATTAATTGACCATGTCAAATTCAACCTTGAAAAATTGACTGAGGCACGGGATGCTGCCATGTTAAATTCGGAACAGCGTCAAAAAGCAAACGAGCGCCTCAGACTGGGTCGCGCGCACGTGCTGCAGTGGAAGCCGGGGGACAGAGCATGGCTGCACTGCCCCCAGGTACCGCTCGCAACATCCCCTAAACTGGCGCGGCCGTGGAGGGGGCCTGTAGAGGTGGTCGAGGTTCTGCGGCCTCAGTGTGTTCGCATCAAATGGGGGAAGCGCCGGTGGTTTGTGCACCCCTCGAGGCTAAAACCATTCGTTGCGGTGCGAGGCCCCACTCCACACACGCGTGGCCAAACATGTGGGGGGTCGGCCGACTCAAAGGGTCCGTCCTCACTGCCCTCGCCTGACGTGTCGCCGGCTGTCCCACCCACAGGTGCACCGGGACTGACGAGCTCGCACCCACCTACTGCTGCGAGGGATGCCGAGGGTCTCGCGACGTCAGACGCGGACTCTATACAAAATGAACAACCGCCACCGGCGGGTTCGCCACCCGGGATTGCCCCGTGTGACGGGCCTGCAGCAAGGACACGCGCAAAAATGCGCAGACTCTTATAATGCATTGGACGAACACTTTATTCTCTTACGTACGGTTGCGTGGTGCTGCGTCGGTGGGGAGCTCCTACCACATTTTTTTTGTTGTGTTGCATGCGTGCTAGGAGTTCCCTGCTAAACCTGTATATACGTCGCTCTTACGGTATTCGTATTTATTCAGGGGGGGTGCGTCGGATTGTTCCCTTCGGGGTTGTGGGTTTTGTTGTTGTTGTCGTTGTTGCTGTTGTTCCCTTCATGTTATCGTTAAAAACGTTTTTTTTTAAGGCACACGCGGGGATCCAGGGGTTAAATAACTTTTATTGAAGTTGTTGCAGCCGGGACGGCTGCGAGCTGTACAGGGGGGGGTGATGTAGGGCTGTTACAGAGGGGCTGTTTGTGTAGGGCTGTTTGCATGGGAGCTAACGGATAACAAACACAGTGGGCGGGGACTCCGTGAGCACACGGGGTGGTGCCCGCAACGACGTCCGCACTGGACGGCATGAGGGGGGTTTCGATCCTCTAGGGGGGTATAAAAAGGGATGAGCCAGAGAGCTCGGGGTTGAGTCTTAGAGTAGTTAAGGGAAGAAGGAAGACCAGCCAGATAGGCCCTGGACTCCCCCTGGGACGCCGCCCTTGTAAGGGCAGCGCAGGCTGGAGCCAGTGGCGTGGTCCCGGAACCAGAGTTAGTCCTCTGGGATTCCGGGTACCGTAGCCCGACTGACCAGTGTCGGGCCAGACAGCCTCCCCTAGCCCGTTAGTGGAGGACTCGGCTAGGAAGGCTAGTTAGAGGTGAATTCCCAGTTATACGGGTGAGGGGGCCGATACATCCCTCAGCGCTGTAAGACATTGTGTAAATAAATACGTGTGCCTTACTACGGTGTCCACGCGTCTTCAAGAGTACTTCATATGGTCCAAAATAATATTCAGTGATAAAGTCATGATACAGCACAACGCGATCACAATAGCGGATGCTTCCAATTGAGGCCGCTAGCACCACCGCTCGGCAGCATCCTGAAGCTTCCGTAAACAACAAATATGAGAAGGGCATGGAAAAATAATAGATGGCTATTGGAATTTTTCCAGATACGTCAAGAAACATTTGTATTGCCATCTTTGACAGATGCCGGTTAATAGAGCATTCCGGATAGTAAGGTGCCGGATAACAGAGCTTTTTGATTTACTTAACATACCTTGCTGTAAAACACAATCCATGCTCACATTTTCTTTGGGTCTTTCGGTAAAGTCACGTAGATAGGTTAAAAAAAAATAACAATTACGACGTTTCGATCGCAACACAAGCGGTCGTCATCAGGAAAAGGGGGTTAGCTTCTAAAGACAACTGCTTATAAAGGTTTGAAATGGGCGTAGCCCAAATATCAACAACCAATGCCAATGCAAGTGGTGGGCTGCGACCGCAGCGGTGGTGGGCTTTCCACCAATCAAAGGGCTGTTAGGCAAAAATTACCGAAAGACCCAAAGAATATGAATTCCTGCAGTCACGAAAGCTTTAAGTCAAGACATGCTCACATTCTAAGACAGTAGTCCCGCAAAGGCGGCAGACGAACCTCTCAAACCTGGCCAGACTGTCTACGAGGAGGGCGTTCTCCTCGATGGCTCGCTCCCCGTCCGGGCCACATTCGAACAGTGCAAACTTGCTACAGCTGCCCTCCATCTTGAGTCCTCGCAGCAGCCGAGCGACCACCTGCTCACCCCGCATGGAAGGGGCAGGGATGACATTTTCTCTGCAGCCTCCTCACGCCATGCAAATGAACCTCACGCTACAACGCACAAGCAACACAAGCGACCGAATACCGGGAAGCCACTCACCTCGCCTGCAGTGACGTGCGAGGTGATCGAGATTGGGCAGGAGCCCCCTCCATGGCAGAATATGGTGGTGCTGATTTCTCGGCCTTCGGCCAGGGCTTGGATTTCGTCGCGGGAGGGGACGCTTTGCCGGCACAGCTTGCACTGCAGTGCAGTCCATGTGAAGGCCACGTACCGGCAGAGCTCCTGGTCTCGGCTCCGCTCAAGTGCTCTGATCGTCATCGTAAGAAAACGAGTATACGATGAAAAGTGTGCGCAGAGAACCCTCTATTAAAATGTATGTCGAAGAATTATGATTGAACCGCAAGAGTAACACTATTCTCTTATAGAGAAGTACTGGCGCTACGCAGCGTATGCACATGCCTGACAGCACACATCATTGAGCTCACCGCCGCAGGTGCAAGTGGAGGTACCGCAGCACAGCGTGACTGGGCGCGAAGGTGCAGCTGGTACACGCCAGGAGGTGCCATACTCGGAGGTTGAGGCTGCCGTCCCCCTTGCCCTCCCACCCACCCATTGTGGGCCCATCCACCCCCTCCCAAGTCATTGTCTGCTTGACCAATTGGCAGTAGAGTTCGTCCCGGAGAGGGATCAGGTCCCAGCACGTCTGCAGGATGCCCTGGACCATGGGCGTGGGATCCCGCACTCCCTCCAGTTCCAGGAGACACAGGGACAGACGCACGGCCTCCTCCGAGAGAGAGCTGTACCCATATGCTGCACCAACATGCGGACAGGACAAACAGCTCTTTGTTTACCCGGGAGACTCAAGAGTTTCAAGAATAATTTTCAGCAGAGTTCTGCATGGGATGTTTATAAGGTTGAGTTCCTGGAGTAAATGCATTTAAACCAGGCATAGTAGTTAAACTTGGGGTGGTGAGAAACCGTTTGTGTAAAACTAAAACAGCAATTGAAAAACAAAGCAGGAAAAAGTTTTATTCAGATGTTCTTTCAACCCACTCATGGTGAATGGGAATTAGTAGTTCATGGCTAGAACACAATACCACAACATGATGACATGAACAGCAATTTTAACCACAACTCCGTCAGAACTCCATAAGTGGCGTTTATCAACCAATTCAGTAGTTACATTGTAAGAATCAGACACAGCCTCTTAAAAACGAATCCATAAACATATAATAACATTATTATACAGCTATTTAGCAATGTGGCCAACCAGAAATTGAAAGTTATTCAACCTTGGATAAGAAATGTAGTTAACTTTTTAAGCACATAACCAAGTATTTGTAATTTGCATTGACAGATTATTTAACAAATATGCCATTACTCATCATTACCGTAACTCATGTTTACAGCACTTAAGCGATTTTTTCTGTATCAGACGAGCCAGAAAAAGCTGTGGTGCTCCCCTAGGTGTGCACTCTGACCCCCAGTGTGGGTAACAAGTTGAGGCCTCTTGTGTGGGTGCCATTGCTCACGATTGGAGTGGTTGTCGCCATAGGGGAGCGGCAGGAGAGGGGAGAGCAGTGCGCGGGGAGAGTAGCGCAGTATCGGGTTTCGCGTGCATGTGCGATCCACCAGGTCGGGGTCGTCACCACTCTCCTGGTGAGGCACAGAGTCGCAGGACAAAGACACGCATGAATACATACACGTGCATACACACAAAGACCCACCCATATTTCCTTAATAAGATTGCTGGGGAAAGTGCTTTTAGCAAGCACCTATAAAAGCTGGCACAGCACACGAGAGGGTGGGTGGCCAGCACCATGCCCGGCTGCCTTCGTCTCCCTAGTGGCAATGTTTACACACTGCACCATGTACTCATATGAGGCTGGGTCGACTTAGGGGAGGCCCAGGATCGGTTCAAATAATCATCACTGTTGTTGACCATGAGCGGGAATCGAACCCAGGTTGCCAGGTTTGTAGTGCAGTGGCTAGCACCGATCCCCACACAAACACAAGCATGCACACACAAAAACAAATTCATGTACGCACCTAATTACGTAAGCACATGTAGGCACACACCCGATCCAGATGTCATTTATACACAAACCAAATAAAAAATCTCAAGTATAGCCTTGAATATACTGTTGGGGTAAGTTCTGTTCGAGAGAGCCTTTGAAATAAATTAATAAAACATTCTTCAAATATAAAGATAAAATAATATGTATCTTGGTGACATCTGTCTGCTTATATGTCTGTCTATAGTTTTCTGGTTAGATTTATGTTGCTATTTCATTTATACCTGATGATGATTGCTTGTGTTGCAATCGAAACGTCGTATGCTATTATTTAATTTATTATTTTATCTTTATACGTGACTTTACCGAAAGAACCAAAGAGTAATCCCTGCAGTCACGAAAGCTCCAAATTAAGATTCTTCAAATAATTACAAATGCTTTGTCACCTTCTCCAAACACAGACAAATAGGCACATTCCAGGTACTATATATTATACATATTTGACAACATACATCTATAATGCTTTCCAAAGGACAAACACTTACAGCGATGTCTTGGATGAGCAATGAGGTTGGCGTATCTGCGCACCCCTTGCTGTCAATGGCCCTCTGTATGGCATGGACCCAGCGGGTCGCCTCTCCTTGCTGCCGGCTGTACAGCGTGTACGAGTCCCTTCGCCCGTACACCGTGAAGCTCCAGTTCCCTACGGGGTACAGGCATACGTCAGGCGAGATGTTAATTACCTCAACTGGCACACAGGAGGTCGTGGGTTCAATCTCTACCCTGACGCCTGCTGTATATTTGGAGTTTGCAAGTTCTCCCCATGGTTGCGTGGATTTTTTCTCCAGGTCCTCTGGTTTTTTCCTCCACATTTACAAATATGCATTTAGAGTATTTGGCTGCTGTAAATTTCCACATGATAAGCCACTTCGTTGAGCTATCATTTGTGGCCAGGTCGATTCTGAAAAAGGGCTATATAGCTCAGCGGGCCTTATCTGGTAAAATACTAAATCGTTGAGTTTTTAGACTCATGGCCTTGCAGACGTGTCTCAGTGCTGTTAGCCATCACCTGCTCTGGCTGGTGTGAGGGGCACAGAGCGCGTAGCACCGCAAAGCGTGGTCTTTAGGGTTAGGCCGCCGTGTGTTGAGTATTTCTTCTCTCAAGCTTTCTCCACCAAGCACGACCCGCGGGAACCTTCGTGAAAGTTCACGAGTTTAATAATTTGAGAGCAGAAATGCTCAACAAGTAGCCCAACCCAGAAGATAAACATTTAGATTTTGAGTGGCTGTGGAGTTCTTGCTTCTTACCTGACTCCACTTGACAATATTCAGTGTTGGGTTGATTGATACTCCTACACTCACCGATTCACCCAAATCACTCTCACACAATTTCCTTAAAACTCTTTTTTATCGTTATAACCAGTCATTGTTCGCATTAACTTCACCCTTTGATATTTTCATCCATGTAACAGCCTCACTTTGCCAGGCAGATTGTTTCAACTGATCCACACGGTGTTTAACCACGCTATGTTAGGAGGTAACATTTCTAGTTTTAATCTGTCCTCACACGTTTTGGAACGCCTTCCCATCATCTAATTTCCTAAGTTCCTATTACATTACTTAATTCAATACAAGCATCACTTCTTATTTAAGACATTTTTGTTATTGCTCTATTGCTGGCCGCTCGTCTGCAATCGAAATAAACACTTAAGTTTGGTTACCACTGCTCAGATGAGGATCTAGATACTTCCCAAGGGGAGCTGGGGAGAGAGGGGGGTCCAGAAATAGGACCTTACCTTAACTAAAAACACTGAATGTGTTTTCTCGAAGAGATATCAACAAAGTACAAATTTTTGGGGTCTCAAGAGGGAGTTTGGGGGTGGGGGAAAGGCAGTCACACTAAAGACGGTCACTGCATCGCGCGCTTTCAGATGCCTTTGCCTCCAATACAGCTGCCGGTCGCGAGCAGCCCTCACCGGTGCGGCCCTGCTGGGTTCCGTCAAGCGGGGAGACGGAGCACATCGGGGTCAACACGAGGCAGCCGGCACGCGGAGCGTTCGCCTCGCTGCCACGGTAGTACTCGAGCGCGCCCGCCGTGAGCACGAACCAGCGCCGCCGCAGCCGAGGACACGAGACCCGCAGGGGCCCCTGGAGACCCCTCCCCGTGGGGACGAGGGAACTCGCATCCGAGGCCTTGTACAACCAGCCTGCGGAGGGAAGGGGGAAAAAACATCGTCAGATAAAAACACGGAAAAAAACACTTCATTTAGGAAAATAGTTTAATTATAACCGCTGTATCTAGATTGTTTTTTTTCCTCTCTCGAAAATATGGTTTATATGATCATAATCATCAAGAAAGAGTTATTTAATTATCTAAGTCAAATTTGCCAAAGGTAATGATCAAATACAGAAAAAGCCATGAAAAACAAATAAAAGCAATGCTTTTATTCATTAAATAAGTAAAAAGTTACTCAAAAACGAATTTATAGTATTTCATTCCTGACCATATACAGTAAATATTTTAATCAGTGAACTTTAAGAACCGTACATTTTTTTTAAAGATCTTATTGATGTATAGGACAGTGGTAGAGAATTCCAGAATTGGTGTTACATGTGTGAAACAAATGTCATGAATACTGCAAAAGCTTCACTGAAAAATGTGGAATCCTGACAATTTCGAAACACCGACTTGGAATACAAAATATATTTTGTTCATCAATTGATAAATGTTTTTCAAAGTAAATATTTGCATTGTTATTATTCTGGTATACCTAGCAAAGCCTCACTGAGTATCAAGACACTTTTAGGAGGGTCTTGCAAAGTTTGTACAGAAGGGGGGAAATGTTGCTGCTGTGTGTAATTCCAATTGAGTAATGAGCAGGTAATCAGGTTTAACATCCATAAGAGTTTTTTTGGGTTAGATCGCGTAAATATATAAATGTGTGGTCACCACATCTACGCCTCTATATAAGGAACTAAACAGTTAGACTTCTCCACAAATCTGGCTGTCGCCTGATGAAGCTAGTTGTAATTACTGGCGAAACGTCGTACTCGGTTTGTAAATCTTGTGGCTTGGGCTCTCCAACACACCGGTGTGCTGTACTAGTGACGAATTGGCATGTTCTGCTTACGTGACAACCCTTACTAATTGGCTGTGTCGGGTGGTGGCGGGTTTTAACGAGGCATTGATATATTTACACGATCTAACCCAAAAAAAAAACTCTATTATGGAAGCAGGTAATTTTTCAGCATTGGTATGTTTGGCCAAAGTCAGTTAGCTAGAAGAGGACTAGTTATCGGAGGAAACCGAGAACACAGAGTAAACCCACGGATAACTCCTCACAAAGGCATCCCCGCATCAGGAATCAAAGCAAGCTTTATTTGCTGTCGAGGCACTTTGCAATATGAATGTCTGAATAAAACACGCTTAAACACTCTTGCGCTCAGCAATAGCCAGGGTCCCACCTCGCAGAATGTTGCCGCCGTCGCCAGGAATGTCCCTTTTGCTTCGCTGCAGAAGCATCAGCCAGCGCTGCATATCATCCGCAGTGTCCGCATTACAGAATAGCGTGCGCGAGCCAGACACCAGTGCAAACGTATGTGGTCTGAAATAGAGTAACACACGGTGTGGAACTCCAACACTCCTCACGCCTACTCGACCGCTCCTTTTCTCCTCCCCACGAGTTGAAATGTTCCTGGGATTGGAAATCATTGGGAAATATTTAAAATGTTATCACTACTCCGTTTCAAGCAGAATAATAAGCAATTTAATAGAACATTTCTTTTCTTAAAGCTTTCGTGACTGCAGGAATTCATATTCTTGGGTCTTTCGGTAAAGTCATGTAGATAGGTTAAACAAAAATCCAGAAAGAAGGGACACCCCTTCATCCTATAGTCTCCACCATTGACTCACCCACCGACAAACTGGCCCGATTTTTGTCTGAGACCTTACAACCATTCACTGGTAAGACCACCTCAGCTGTACTCAAATAAGCTCACTTGGTATCGTTAATTGAGGACATCTCACTATCTCCAGGTGATTTGCTCGTTAGTGTTAAATGCGGTCTCTGTTTACCAAAGTTCCTGTGCTTGATACCATTGCAATCATTGAAGATTTGGTCCAACAAGGACTGAAAGCTGATGTACCGGCCCTGGTGAGACACTACCTCACCAACACTTACTTCACCTGGAATGGAACATTCTACAAACAAGTTGAAGGTATCCCCCAATGGGTTATCCCTTATCTCCAGTTGAAGCCAATGTTTTCATGGAGAAATTTGAGACAGATGCCATCCAGGCATCCACTCTACATCCGTCCTTGTAGAAGGGGTATGTAGATGACACGTTCGTCATCTGGCCACATGGCCGACCAGCTCTGAACCAATTTCTCAACCACATCAATTCCCTACACCCAGCTATCAAATTTACCATGGAGGTGGAAACGGATGGCAAGTTACCATTCTTGGATGTTTAAATCGAAAAGAGACCAGATGGCTCAATGGGACACTGTCTACAGGAAAGCCACCCATACGAATGCCAACCTAAAACCTGACTCCCACCACCATCCTGCCCAGAAGAATTCCCTCATCAACACTCTACACCATAGAGCTCGTTGTATTTCCGACCGTCATCACCTAGCCAGTGAACTGGAACAAGTACATCAAGCTCTCAAGATGAATGGATATTCAGACAACACACTCCGTAAAGCTATCACCCCAACCGTTGGGAAACAACCATTTGAGGACCCAATCAAAACCATCACCTTATCATACATAAGCAGGGGTCACCAAAAAGATTTTCAAAATCATGAGCAAACAAGATCCAGGTTCGATTTAACAGAGTATATAAAATTCGTGATCTGATCCCACCTGTGAAGAATGTGATCCCTGACATGCAATACCCCGGCGTCTACAAACTAAGCTGCGTCTGCGGCAGTAGTTACATTTGGGAAACTAAGCGACATGTCTCGGACCGTGTTCGTGAACATATGGCAGATCTGAAACACGGTAGCACCAATACTTCTGCCGTGGCTGATCGTTATTTTAATGCGGTGGGCTCACACGAAATTGATTTCTCTAAGACAAAGATACTTTGCAAGCCCACTGGCTATCAACAAAGATTCGTTCATGAAGCCATCCATATATATACACAGACACAATTTCCACCGAGAAGATGGGTATAAACTGAGCAATCATTGGAAGGACGTTATCAACAAGTTTGTCATAATTGGCTATGATGTTCCTATCCTACCACCTTCCGATGCTAGTTGTGCTTTACGCCCATTTCAAACTTGCTCTGTCACAGTCACTTCGCGCGCCGACCCCTTGGTTGCGACTCTGCGATCTGCCATTAACATGATAATCTCTCTTTAACATGCTAATTTTCACCTGGCAGCCCTTTGATTGGTGGAAAACCAACCACCGTCGGGTTGGCTGCCCACCACTTACATTATCATTGGCTGCTAACATTTGAGTTACGCCCATTTCAAACCCTTATAAACAGTTTGCCTTGGAAGCTAATCCCCCTTTTCCTGAAGACGACCGCTTGTGTTGCGATCGAAATGTCCGAGTTTTTTGTTTAACCTATCTACATGACTTTACCGAAAGACCCAAAAATACGAACGTTTTTTTTTTCCACGTTTATAAAAAAAAATTTCAGCTGCTGCGGTTGTCATGGAAAGTAAACTACCCAGAAGTGAGCACCTTCTCACCACACTCACCGCACCTTGCGAATAAACAAAGGACTCAATTTTAACAGACTCATATGATCAAAGGACAATTCAGAAATATAGAACAAACTCAAATAAAAACAGAAAATGGATAATAACAATTACCTAGAGTTTTTATATATCAGAAGCCCCCCACTCCTACCCATAAAGTTAATAAATAGCGTATAACTAAAACAACTTACTTTTATGTGTTTAAAGCAGCAGAACAGGCCACACAATGTAGACTTCGCATATATATTACACCAAAGGGAGCTTTTGGCTGTGCGATCACCACAGATGAAGGCTGCTTGAATTTCACCCCCGCAAAATTCTTTGGCAGATAGTTAGCCGAGGTAAAAAGGCAGCTTCATCAGCAGACGCAGCTGCGAATCCTCTGAGCAGCAGCGCTTAGCTGTGGGAGCTGACCGGGCAGCAGCGTCGAAGGGCAGCCGCGAATGAGCGAGCAGCATTTGGCTGCACGCGTCGCAACGCTGCGGCTGAGCAGGAAGCCAGGATGTGGGCGAGTGCCCCCCCCTCCAACCCTCCCGACCCCTCCCACAACCTCCACCCCCCCAACACCCTCCACCCCCAACAACCCTCCCAACAGCCTCCACCCTCCACCTCACCAAGTGACCACGTGGTTGCCGAGTCACGCCCAGCGTGACTCGCCCGCCTCTGAGGGCGCCTCGTGGAGGCGTCTCGGCACGGGTGGGGGGCGGGGGTGGTGACCGCACTGGGATCATGGCCAGGAAATAAACCCAGAAGCCGCCCTCCCTCATGATCTGGTGGCTTGGGCCGCAAGCGCACGCGATGAAACGTGGCCGGCTGAGTTTTATCCCAAGTGCTGATAAATACTGTGCAGGAAAAAATGGAGTGTGGAGTATCATGTAATGTTACATCTCCACGACACATAAATGTGTTGCTCATAACAAATTTGAAATTTAATCATGTTTCAACTGTCAATTACCATGTATGTGTCCACAGTCTGCCCATTTCGAATAATTTGTTTTTAAACAGTTACCGATTCGGAGGATACACTTTACTGTGTCGGTCTTTAGATTTATAAAGGCTGAATCACATTCACCCTGATTATTACAAGTGTAGTGACATCGCGGGATGTCACTGTGTAGTGCCGGCCCGAGAGAGGCACGGCGTGCGGTGCAACGACATCGTGGTTACCACTATGGTGTGGGTGTAGTACCGGCTCTAGAGGGGCTCGGTGAGAGCTGATTGATAGCGCAGGATGGCATCACGCTTGGCGTGCAGTGCCAGCCCTACAGGATAGGATGTGGGAGTGCCGGCCGTAGGAATGAGGTTACTAGAGGCCATGACACTCTGGTTGACCCGAGAGGACACGTGACCGGTTAAGTCTACAAAGGGGCCCAAAGTGGGGGCTAGGGGTGGTCACATGGTCGGGGTCCAGATCCTGCTCGAGGATTCTGGAAGGTGGTCGTGGCCAAGGGCGGAGCCAGCCACGCTGCAGAGAATATAAGCCGGGTCCCCCAGAGGGATCGGTGTTATTGCCTCCAAGAGTACGTCTGTGACTCAGTTGAACTCACTACACAAGTTTAACCAAGTAGCGTCACCAGACATGGTCAATCCCGCTGCCAAATGAAGGCCTCTGAAAACCACCACAATCTCAATCCTGCGATTTAATATGAAATTCACATTTGGCCAAAAGTGCTAAACCCACTGAAGGTCAATGTTCACCCAATTAAAAAAGTTATTTCAGTTCAGTTCGGGTGATCCGTAATGCACAAAAACAAGCAAATGCTTCTTACACTAGCATTAGCTCATTATCTGACATGATACACTTACCCTACCTCACCTATATAAGACTGTGTACAAGTTAATATTCTTAAAGGATGTCATTTGGCACTTTCCTGATAGTGACACAATTTAAAACCTGCCATGTTTTTTTATTAAGCTGTTAGTATTCTAAAGTTTGCTAAAGCATCAACCTAATAATTCATATCAACATTTAGGCTGAGGATGGCTACAGTATTGACTTCGTTTTTAAGCCTTTGGACATTTAACCTCATAAATACAAGTTTCACAATTGGTAAAAGGATTCTGTCATTTGCAAAGATTTATATTTATTGCCACATCAAGGGAATTCCAACGCTGTAATTACCTCACAACATAAGCATGACTTCAACCTCACACCACAAGGCCCTGGTCTCCGCCGAGAAAAATCAGCATTGCATAGTCTAACCAGCAAGACCTTCGGCGTGACACACGTACACACGGGGTGTCATGACGTCACATCAGCCACCCACGCAGTAAAGCCCAAGTTCATTTCATTCTGCAAAGCACGACGACTTGCATAAAAAAACTCATCGAGAAATAATAACCAAACAATATTTGTAAACAAAACCAAATCTAAATAACAAACAGTATATTCAACTTTTGATTTAAAGCTTTCGTGACTGCAGGCATTCATATTCTGTGGATTTCACATCTGATGATGATTGCTTGTGTTGCAGTCGAAACGTCGTGAGAATTTTTATTGTTTTATATTTATATTATTTTATTATTTCCCTTCTACGTGACTTTACCGAAAGAATCAAGAATATAATATATTCAACGTTGGCGCAGAATACGTGCGTCAACGTCGGTGTAAGAGAGAATTTGAATATGGAAGGCTGAAAGTAAAGACGAGTGTGGGTTAGGTGTGGCCTCACCTGTCAGGATCGTCTGCATCTGCGTAAGCCTCATCGAGCATGCCAGCCTCCAGCGAGCCCTGCAGACAGCACAACAGAACCCTTCAACACACAATTACAAATAACCCAATAAGCCACTTTCGGTTATGTCGTCTTGCAGTATTGGAAGGGTGTGTCAAGTGATGTCAGCTTTAAAAAAAAAGACACTTGTGAGTGAACTGGTACCAGGGCTGAGTTGGGGTCAGACGACTCCTGGAACATTTTCTGGAGTTGACCTTCCGTGGCGCCTCGCACTCGTTCCAGGAGGCCGAGCCACCGACTGTGTCGAGACAAAAAAGGTTGAGGAAAGAGATTGCGAGAGAGGTAAATTGAGTGGGGGAGAGGGAGAGATTGAGAATAGGAGAAATTAAGCAAAGTAAAAAAGAGCAGGAATGTGTTTTTGTGGATAATGCAATATGGGGTGACAACATATTGTTTATAAGCAAAGGAAGCACAGGAAGGGACTGTTCTTGGCTAATCCCTGGAATGAGGCTGTGAATGGTACACAGATGGCCAGGATGCAGCGTACGTCCACCACATGAAGTGGCAGAGACCAATCCTGCGGTCCCTGAATGCACCACGTACAAAGTGCAAGTTATTTCATTTTCTAAATGTTTGGCACCGAAACAACTGGAGTGTGACTGGATCACACCACAGCAAGTGAAAGCACAATTAAATTTGCTTTGCTACTCCAACTTGTAAAAGTTTTTTTATTTTATTCATTGAACTTTTGTTATTTTTAGTAATTGAAAAAAAAGTCATAAGACTTATTAAATGGAACTAGACCAGCATTAGTCTAGTTAAGGGCTTTCAGCATATTTTCTCAAAGACTATCTTTTTCATTATCTTACCTAAATAAAAGTTACTATAATAGACAACAAAAACGTTGCGTTTGTTTAAATAGTATGCACTCAATAGTAAATATATTTTATTTTAATAAAAGTTTTTTGGACATCCAGTTGGCTAACCCAGATTTGCTATGTATAGTTTTACACTTCAAAAGTCTAGACTTCTTGACACTGAAGAGAAGTGAAAATTGTAACTTTAAGAAATTTCAACTGACAAAGACACAAAATGTAAGCGATTTTGTTTTTATAATAAATCTCCGAGAAAGCTGTGGTCAAAGAATGTTGTGTACTTTGTGTGCTTGGCTCAGCAGGGGGTTATCAGTCACAGAAACATGGAGGTGTGGGTGGGACATCACAATGCGCCTTTCCTGTTCTGGCATGTGGTCACCACTGTGCAGTAGGGACACTGAAAAGCCAGACACACAGGCCAGTGCAACTGGTTCCCCGTGTGACAAACGCCGCCAAGCAAACGCATGATGAAAACCATCAGCACAGATTGCACTAACATGCAATTCGTCAGGAAAGACGCAAATTTTTAAAGTAACAAATCATAAGCGTTTTTTTTAAGAATTAGATTTTTACGTAACCAAATTAACTAATGGCACTTTGGGCCTACGGGACATACGAATTCAAATTTTCTTTCTCAAACTTTAGATTTTCTTGCCCTAAACCATTGTCTCTTCTCTGGTCACTATGGTCCGGAATTCCACACTGCTCCCTCCTTGTCCCCTCGTTTGTGAGCTGGTCCCGCTTCCCCAGTACTCTCTCTGCGCGGCCCCTCCCCCCTCTCTCTATTTAAGGCCTCGGCACAGATTCGTTGTTCTTCTGTTTGTCTTGGTGTGTGTCTCACTCTGTGTGTGTCTCTCTGCATGTGTCTGCCTATGCTGTTCCCGTGTCTGTGTTTTATCATTAATTATTACCTGATGATGGTTGCTTGTGTTGCAACCGAAACGTCATATTCTATTATTATTTGATTTTATTTTCTACGTGACTTTACCGAAAGAACCAAAGAGTAATTCCTGCAGTCACGAAAGCTTTGAATCTATTATGTTACAAGTGAATTGACTAGGAACAAGATACCCTGTCATGGGATCTCCTTTGCCAGTACCAAAATATGATAATAGGTTTTCCCCTTTTTTCTGGCAAGAAAAAAATGGGAAAAACCTATTCTTAAGATACCCTGTGCCTGAAGTGATAGTTTGTTCAAAACTCTGCATGGAACACAATGCTATGTTGAAAACACTTATGTCAGGGAAGAGTCTTGGCAATCTTTGTGGCCCAGAATAAGCTTTGAAGCATTTTTCTCCGATGGCAAAATATATAGACTTAAGCAGCAATGCCCAGCTGCAGGAGGCATCTCATGAAAGCAGCAACAACCAAAACTAGTGGCAGCCCGTCAGCGTGTCCGTCGGTTGCAACTGCACCTGGCATCCTCTTGGGACGGAGCGCGCAGGCGGTAGGTGCGATCCTCCGTTATGACGTCGAAGCAGTTCTCCCTGTGCTCGTCACCAAACACCTCCCTGCAGACACAGACCAAGAGTGAGTTTCGTGGAACAGGCAGAAGCCATCGGCAGCGCATGTTTAGCTCACTTGTGACCCATGAAAGCCGGTTGGATTTACAATCATGCATTAAACACTATAATCGAATATTAATGTCTAGCTTTAAAATTATCTGACGGTGTACTTCATTCTTGTAATCACTCTATGAAATGGCCTATGATTTTATTAAATGATCTGTGTAAGCCCTCACTGGAAGTCAAGTTCCTTTTTCAAGGTGATAGTTTGTTAAAAAGGAGGAAACGAACACTCATTATACGAGAAAGAACAATCAATACTGGTTCTTTCGTGACTTTACCGAAAGAACCAGAGTATGGATTCCTGCAGTCACAAAAGCTTCAAATAAAGGAAGAACAATCAAGCTCCGCAAAGATGGATTGATTCTACAGTTGTACTGCCATCTCTTGTTTATCCTGCAGCCCACGCCTACAACACGTGGTATTCCCAGGCAGTCGGCTAATGCAATTACTAACCAGATTCAACTCTGCTTCGTTTCCAAGATCTGATTAGATCAGGCATTTTAAGGGTGATCCCATCGTAGGCAAACACCGAAGTGCACACAATGTTATTATGTAGAACCATACAATTCAGTACGAGTGAAATATAAGTATATTATACAAAACATTGATTTCGAATTTTTATCATAAATTAATTCAATCGACCTTAATCACACGGAACTTTTGGCCTTCAAACCCTTTGTTGGTTTAAAACTGAAAATAAAGAACCTCTCTAATTTTGACTACACACATTGCATAATGTTAAAAAGAGAGAAGTGAAAGCAGAAATGTGTGTTAGATGCCACCAGCACAGCCCAATGTGAAATAATAACTCACAGGAGGCCCTGGGAACACACAGAGTGCGTCCATGTGAAGCCACGTGACCTACCAGGGCTGCCTGAAATGGCGTGGGGGAGTGCGTGGGAGTGCGTGGGAATGCGTGCGACTCAGGGGACCTGACCTCACAGACGCGAGATCGATGGTACCACGCTGCCTCTCCTCACGATCATTGTCGTAGTATGCCAGGCCGGAGGGCTGCAGCACGAACCAGCGGCGCTTCCAGCTGCGGCGAGCAAGACGCAGCGGTGGCCGCCCCTGTCCCTGCTTGTCCAGCCACCCGGACAGCGTGGCCTCCCGGCGCGTGCGGAACCACGTGAAGGTGCCCTCGCTCAGCACACACCATCGCCGCTTCCACGCAGCCGCCAGGCTCTCTGCTCCGGGGCATTGGCCGGCACCACGTGTCAAATTCACGCGATTTCGCGACGATTCATCTGCTAGCATTCAGGATTAGTTAATCGTTTTCAGATAAACGTTAAGCAGGTGAAATGTTGTTTTATACTGACAAGTTTCTATCTTGCATCAGCTGGCCAATTTTACAAATGTCTTATTCTGTGATCCCCCAAAATAACATTTCGAAGAAGCACTTATTTAATGATGTCAATTATTTATTCCCTTTGCTCTAGAAGCCTTTTTCCCTCCTGTGAAAGGCTATGTTTACGTCTTCGAGTGTGACATCTAGTACTTCCTCTTATTATTATGATCTAATTCTTATGTTTGGCATATTTGTCCCATTTAATATTTTTCCTCTTCGTCAGACATGTTAGTAAGAGGACGTAAACAAACGAAATGCAGTGAAATAAACTGGTATGCACAATAGCACAATATAACTACACCACTCATCGAAATGTGCAGACATATGTGTACGTTGCACTCGCACACATAAACACATATTTACACTGCAACTACGAAGCCAGTCTGATCAGAAAAGATGGCTCAACACACCCATCTGCCAACATTCTTTCTCAACGTGAGATAACAATCACACCTTGACATTTACTGCATTAAAGTTGATTGTTTTCTTCTCGAGTACATTTCAGTTGGTGGCACTGACAGGTGTTCCCCGGGACTGCTATGCTTGTACGCTCATGCACGTGCATGTGCGTGTGTGCGCGTGATTTGCGCATGCAAGCCTAATAGTGCCAGGCAGCACACACATACGGGTGTGTGTGTGTATGTGCAAGACTAACTGTGCCAGGAAACACACGATTGCGTGTGTGCGTGTGTGCGTGTGTGCGAGTGTGTACGTGTGTGCAGGCATTGCAGTGCCAGGAACACACACATTGGTGTATGTGGGTGTATGAACTGGGGAGTGGTAGTGTAGTGGTTACCAGCAGCCCGAGTGCGATTTCTGCTCACAGCCAACATTGGTGATACATATCTGGACTGGTTGCTGAGCCTCCTGTAGGTTGACTCAGCCTAAAATGTGTACCTCGTGTGGTGTTTGTTGCGTGTGTGCCTGTTTGTGCGTGCTCACCCTGGAGAGAGAGGAAACCCTGGTAGAAGGGGGGACCGATGCTGCTGTAGACGGACTCGCCCTGCAGTATGGACTCTTCGTCCGACACACCGCCTCGCACCACGCACTCCCCCTCACTCTCAAACTGGGAAAATGCACGCACAATGTCCACAACATTGCTGCATTCATGACAGGTGTTAGTGCATGATTTATACAAGCCAGGGCACTCGCTTGCAATGCCGTGGTATAAATGGTGCTTTAATTTACACTTATGCAAGCACCATATTTTAGAGAGCTTTTTAAGACTCACCGATGACAACTGTTCCCTTGGGTTGCCCCATCCTGTGGCCGAGTTATTTCGGGAGAAATCCTCTCTGAAGCTCCCCTGGTCCGTGCACATGCTGTTACGGTACAGTTCCCCTTTGCAGCTCCTGTTTTGGGTATCCGTTACACTGGGTGAGATTAAGGCGTCCTTAATGCCTTCCCTCTCAAAAGCCGAAACGTTTCCCTTCACCGTTCCTTCGGAGCTTCCCCTGGCTCTGGCAGACTTGGTGCCAGAGCCGAAGGAGAAGCGGTAGGTGCAGTCCAGCGTCACCGGCCGACTGTTCTGCGGCACCTGAAACGTGGTGCTGCAAGTGAACACTGCATCGTGGTTCTCCACCGTAGAGTAAACGTTCTCCTCGTCTGGGTTCGTGTGGGGGGAGCCCGGCTCGGTGGAAGCTTCGCTGCCCTTGTCTGCCGGGTCGGCAGGGCGATTGCTGAAGAATCCAGAGTCGCTCACTCGCTTGTTATCCACCATGGCATACTGGATGAGGGGGTTGCACGTGGCGGGGGGCACTGCGGCCGGTGGTGGCACCATCTCGTACACGTGGGTTTGGGAGTCTAGTTCGGATGCCAGCTCATACCAGTACGGGGCGCTGGGCACAACTGCAGCGTCACAGGCTTGGGGCGAGGAGAGGGCTGAAGCCACTGCCGCTTTGGCAATGCCGACATCCATGGTTTCGTTTGCGTAAAGCTGCTCTTCAGAAGAAAAGTCCATCTCGCTGCAGGTGTGAGCGCCGCTCGTTCGTTGATCGCTCAGCTGCTCGACCACATCCAATCTGATAGCTGTGGGCTTCGACAGCAAGGTGGCATCACGGAACAACACCTCCTCCTCAGCTCCAAAACCCTCGTCCTCATCCTCCTCATTTCTGCCAGTTTCATTAACAGCAGTGGATGCACCATGTGCGGCAGGTGTCGTCAGCTCAAGCTCTGGGATTTCAGCATACTCGTTCTCCAGTGGTCCCTCATTTTCTTGATGTAAGCCATGATTCTTTCCGGTGACTTCTGTAGCGAAACTGGACTTGCTGCTCTGTAGAGCAGGCAAAGGTGGACACACAGCCTGTGCTACGTTTCCTTCAAGAGACTCTTCAATGCTGTGGAAGATGTCGTCAAAACGCAGAGACTCCAAAAACTCGTGGCCTGCCCTGGTGGCCTCGGCGTCAAGCCGCATGGCCTCCTCTGCACCCAGCAGTGGGGGGCCATGCTCCTCTGAGCTGTATGGTGAGACCACTTCAGTCTGCCCACCAGCAGAGCATTGCTCCTGCTCGCTGCAATTCTCGGATATGCTCTGTGATCCAATGGCAATGGGTTGAATGTCAGGAAAACATTCAGTGCAATGCGGCAGAGTCACATTAACCTGCAAAAGTTGAAATGCTTTGGTAACGTCAACATCTAAACCTGTTTGATTACATTGCACTCCCGAAATTGTGCCTCGAAGTGGCTGGGCCATCGGTTCCTTGTCAAGAGGCAACTCTAACAAGTGGAACTCTTCAGCTTGTTTCATGTGCAGCATATCTGGAAAAGCTAAGGTACCATCCTCATGACAACTGTCGGAAACCCTTGTAATCACAGTATCATTCTTCTGCCCCACATTCAGGTTTAGGTAATTTGAAGAGCCAATAAAGATACCAAACTCTGCCATCTCATCAGATTGCCCTGACCCACCAATGTCTGTTTGAAAAGTGTCAGTGGCCATTTCTCTTGCAGGCAACACCAAGTGGTTTTTATGACTTCTCAAGTACACGGATTCATTATCAGTAGTCAAAACTTCTGGGACAGGACTTTCCTCCATTCTTAACACCGTGGCTTCCTCCACGTCTTCAATGGCGAGCGACTCTGTACCCATGTGAGAGGTGTTGGTGTTGTCATTGAGTTCAATAGGAATGTTCTCATCCGTCAGGACGGATGGCGTTGTAATCTCTGCTGTGCCTTGATAATCCAGATTGGCTGCGCTTGGCGGACACGCAAACTCCACGCCCGGTGTGGAGGCGACACATGGAGTCAAGCAGCACGAAGGGATGGCGCCTGTCCCTGGGAAGGCGCTGGCGGCTGTGGGCAGCAAGTAGCGCCTCCGCCAACGGTGGGTGCGGTAGCTCCTCTGAATGGTCAGCACACTCTGCAGCACAGTCCTGTACCACTTCCTGCATCGCAGGGAATCAGGAGCAGCACAAACACTAGCAAAACACTAAATCAACTGTATTATATAAATTAATAGCCTTAAAATATGAGTTTTTTTCACGTGACTAAATGACACCCAAAAAACACATTGATTACATTTTAAACTAGATTCGAAGCTTTCGTGACTGCAGGAATTACTCTTTGGTTCTTTCGGTAAAGTCACGTAGAAAATAAAATCAAACAATAATAGAATACAACGTTTCGATTGCAAAACAAGCAACCATCATCAGGTGAGAATGAATGATAAAACACAGACACGGAAACAACATAGGCAGACCCAGATGCAGTGAGAGACACACAAAGACACACCGAGTGAGATACACACCAATACTTCATAATTCTACTAAATTTGCTTTCTCAAAGTTTAGATTGTCTTGCTCGAAACCATTGTCTCTCCTCCGGCCACTGTGGTCCAGAATTCCTCTCTGTTCCCTCCTTGTCCCCTCGTTTAACTGCCTCCCCAGTCCTCTCTCTGCCCCGGCCCTGCCCCCCCCCTCTCTATTTAAGGCCTCGGCACAGATTAGTTGTCCTTTCTCTTGGTGTGTGTCTCACTCGGTCTGTCTTTGTGTGTGTCTCTCTCTGAATGTGTCTGCCTATGTTGTTTCCGTGTCTGTGTTCTATCATTCATTGATGGTTGCTTGTGTTGCAATCAAAACGTCGTATTCTATTATTATTTTGTTTTCTACATACATTTTAAACATTGGCTCTTCAATATAACTGTGGCAAAATACTCTTCTTTATATTAGCCCTCAATTAAAACGTATTTAAACATATACTTAACAATTCCCACAGGCTTAAATGGCAATACACGCACGCAAACAGTAGATTCATATAATTGCTGTGCAAGCTATGACACGACCATGGCGTCTTCTTTGGGATAACATGGCAGCTGAGGGCTCCAGCTCCAACGACACAACTGGTTGCCTTTGCCCAGGGCAAAACAATACAGAAAACTGTGCACATTTTCAGGCTGTGTTGATGCTTATATTTTGTTCAGAATGAGTGCATGTCTGCACAACTGCAACAACTTAAATGCTACGTTGTCATAATGGTGCAAATTATTTAAAAGCCCTTGTGGTGAGGAGATGTATTTTTATTTGGTTGCAGTAATGTTGTTAGAAAATACAGACAATAAGAGTAAAAAGGTTTTTTGCAAGTGGATTTTTTGTAGTAAAACCTATATTCAGGTCGCAGAGTGTTATGGGGTTAATCCACAATACTTGTCAGGCACAAGATTTTTGGTCCAAACGGGGAGCTGCAGCAGTGCAATGGTTAACAAAAACCAAACGCATTGTGGCATCGAGCAAAATTCCCACCAAATGAAATACGGGGGAACTTGTGAAAAAAAACCCCAGCAGAAAACCAATGTGGGTGGCTGTCAAACTATAACTGCGGCGGGCGCCCATCTGCTGGTCTGGACACGCCGCCAAACAGTGCGGGCCCTCACCGTGTGGCGTAGCCGAGCGCGTGGGCACGGATGACTGTGGCCGCCCTGTGCCACTCCTCGTTGCGCTGTCGCTCCAGCTCCCGCTCCAAACCCTCATGCATAAACACCTGTTCCAGCAACAGCACGCACAGCAACAACGATCCCTCCCCCCCCGTCTATTAAGCTTTGAATTTCAATAGACTGCTGGAGCAACTGCTGTTGGCAGGAATATGTGAAAGCTGACAGCGAATGAGGGGGTGGTGTGGCCAGCATGGTGCCTCGCCACCTTTGTCTCCCCATTGTTGATATTTACACAACCCACCAAAATACTCTTTTAAGGCTGATTCGACCACATTAGCGATTGATGTTGGCCATGAGCGGGAACGAATTCAGGTCATCGAGTTCAAAGTGCGGCGAGCTAACCACTGAACTAGTGCTCCCCACTCCATGCATGTGCACACACGCATGCATATGTATGTACCCATATATGTAAACACATGCACTCACGTATAATAAAACAGGCACACAGTCATGTATGTGTAATGACAATGGAGTCCACATGCGGTGTGAGTGGATGAGTGGCCGCGGGAGGTAATGACAGGGGAGTCAGCCTGCAGTGCGAATGCACTAGTGGCCACGGGAGGTAATGACAGGGGTGTCAGCTGTGAGTGCGAAGGGACTGGTGGCTACGGGAATGATCGAGAAGGGAGCGCGGTCAGGTGACGGAAGAGGACGGTAGAATCTCCTCGTGGAGCGAGCGTCCAGAGTCAGCGAGAAGGTTCGGGAAAGGGGGCGTGACCTCAATCCGTATGCAAGAAAAATGCGCAGGAGACTCGGGGCTGTTGCAGTGGGGTCTCCGCCTGTGTCAAGTGAACGTGTCTTTAATAAAGTGCCATCTCAAGAAAAGTGTGTCAAGTCGTCTTTACATATGCACACATGCAAAAAAACATGTACGCATATATACACGCATGTACACACACGCCCAAAATGCACACAAGTTTTCAGGCACCAATAAACAAAGTGCAATTACAACAAAACAATAATGACCAATGACATAAAACCTGCATGTATGCATCCTTTTGTGTTTGTAGAACTACATCAATAGATTTAAAATAGAAAATCCGAGTCTTAAAGACAAATAACAGAGGCCACAAGTTCATTTAATAGTCTGAGACCACCCCAGATGAAGTCATCCTGGCCTGGGGAATGCTGTAGCCTAATTGGAGTGAAACACGATCATTACTAATGACAAGCGGTGCGCCTAGGAGGGCAGCCGTATCTGCTCCTCATGCATACCGGCTCTAAAAACCTGCCAGCCAGTGCTTCTGTAGGCGTTACATTTAATGACAAAGAACTTACTGGACACAAATACAAAAAACTCTTTGTATGATCTCCAGTGATATGCTCAAAGCTCTCTAAAGTAAAATCTGTGCACGAACATGCTTGAAAGCAATCCTTGCCATCAAAGACAAAGACCACCCCCCCTCCGTGTATAGCCTTAACAAACTGTTCTGTTGGGGCAAGTTAGCGAGCAGCATCTATGAAGGCCGATACAATACACGAGGGGGTGGAATGCCAGCACTAATTTGAGGCCGAGTCGACCTAGGGGAGGCCCAGGACCCGTTCAGATAATTGTCACTGGTATTGGCCATGAGCAGAAATTTACTTTGGTCGCTGGGTTTAAAGCAGCACCCTTATCGCTATACTACCACTCCCTAACAATCCTTGCCATCTACCCCCTCCTACACATGCATTCAGGACAAAATACATTACTGTGCAGCACACAATGGGAACTGGCTTCCCTTTTAGGGCCACAATTCCGGTGATGACAGACCGTGTTTTGCCAAACGCACAATAAAAATTTACTGGCAATGTGTGCCCTCTCCTTGGAAATTGAGGCACTTATGAGAAATCACACAGGCCGAGTAAGCCTTTATTAACCACACTGGCAACCCAGAGCACAGCGCACGACACAGGAAATAGAAGAAACATAGGTAAAGAAACATACAAATAAAAACATCAAATGCACTTATTACAATTGATCTTCTGAACCTATTTCCTTTAGACCACACAGAGTGGCAATGTAAAACGATAGGGATGCTTTCCAAAGGCTGGAATATTGTCACATGATGCCAGCTGCCTTGGCAAATCAGTTCAAGTTTATTTATTAGGTATAGCCCTGTGAGCCATTCGGCTCTTGAATCGGGTGCAACCGCAACAAACAAAAAACAAAAACATGAACAAGAAAACAGTGTAGGTACCAATGTGACTTTTTCACACCTCAGGCGTGACCTGTCATGCCTTTGCTGCCATCCCCTCATTTCCTGTCTCGCAAAGGCTGCTGCGCTTCCTCTGCCAAGAGGTTTAACAATTTGAAAAAAAAATCTTCCTGCAGCAGAAGACACATTTTTAGTATTTCCTCGAGAACCCACAACATTTAATTGAGATTATTAAGCATGTACAAACTCACCACATATGTGGACTCTCCTGAAAATTGGGATATTTAAGTGGTGGTCATGGTTAAAAGCTTATTCCCCTGTCTGGGAGACAGAGTTGTGCATATGCACAGGAATGTACATGACCAATCTTACATCACATAAGTGGTTGTGTGTTCCTTTGCGAACATGCAATCCTTTGCATCCCTGTGTGTGCGTGTGTCCCTGTATGTGCGTGTGTTGTGCTGGCCGCCCAACCCCATGCGTACCGTGCCAGGCTTTATAGGTGCTCACTAACAGCACTTGCACAAACAGTCCAAAGCTATACGAGGATCTTTGTATGTCCTGTGTATGTGTGTCCCTATTTATGCGTCTCCGTATATGTGTGTGTGCGTGTCCACATTTGCAATGCTGCCTTACCCTGCTCTTGCCAAGCTGCCACTGTGTTTCCGAACTGTCATAAACGCGCAGGAACGAGGCACAGCGGCTCCGCGTGTCCTCCGGCAGCGCTAGCTTCCTCATCAGCACACGGTATCTGTGCTCGACATCGCACCATACATGTACACAATTTCTACTGTGATATAAATGTGAGTGACATTATCACGATTTTACAAGCAACTCACAACAATATTTCTCAAAGCGACATAATACTCAGATATTTCAAGTTTGAATAAGAATTACTCCATCAATAATGGAACGGCTAAACCGATATTGCAAGAAGACATTAGCAAATCACACATCTGAATGGGAGTCAGAAAATTAGCCATGTTTTTGCCAAACTTACCCAAGTGAAATACGCAAAATGCAGGAACTATTACAACAGTTGTTAAACCATTGTAACCAAACACAACTTATCCTTAGAAGTAAAGAAGAAACATACATGAAGCTATACTTGTTAAGGTAACAGATACATTTGATAATGCTTGATTTTTTTAAATGGTTTGTGTTTTGCTAAACAAAGCTGGAGGTCGGTTCTACAGGTGTGTGCCGTCCAGGCTATCTGCGTGCGTACCTGTTGTGAAATTCGTGGACGTCTCTTCGAGCTGGGAAGCCGGCCTGACGCAGATGCACCATGCCCAGCACGCCAGAAAAGCGCAGCTGGCCCAGCACGCTCGCCTGGTCAAACTGCTCTGGCATCTGCCAAGAAAGACACCGATGGGGAGTACACACACACACACATAACTTTCAAGCAGAGACAAAGACCCTATGTGAACCATGCAGGCTGGGTGGCCAGAACCACACGTGGTTTGCCTTGGTCTGCCCAGGGCTGATGTTGACCAACACCACCGGATGTAAAATGCTCATTTTAGGACGAGTCAAACCAAGCAAGGCCCAGGCTGGGTACTACATCAAAAAACACTGCAGATGTCCATGGCTAGCATACGAAAGAGTACAGTGAAGGCCACTATTACTACACATCCACAGCACATAGCACAGAGCAGAGGCATGACACACAAAAATAAGCATGACACACAAAAATAAGCACGCACAGTACCATACCCCCCCCCCCGCAATACCACACCACATACATGCAGCCACACACAGCCACACATATGCCCACACACAGCACTACACACACATGTAGCATACACACGTTTCAAGGTTAAACAAAATGCCATTTGAGCAGTGCTAGGATTAGAACCGAAATTAAAAAAATTGGTTGAAATGTTGAACATATTTATTATTTGTCTTAATAAATAAATACATGCATACAATATACACCATTATGATTCAGAAATGGTGACATTAGTATTGAGGTGAAACAATAGTACAAGCGACTGGCTCAATGCCTTATGAACCTGGCAACCCGGGGTTCGATTCCCAGCCACAACCAATATAAGTGGCGAGTGAAACTTGGTCCCTCCACTTGATCAATCCACACCGGCCATCGTGGTGAAGTATGGTTAAACAATCTCCATGACTGAAGTGGCATAGAGAGGAGCCTTCATCCAGCAGTAGATTGATAAAGGGTTGTATAGATTATTATATTTGTATTGTAACAGTAATAATATTACAATATCTCACATGAAGCATAGTAAATAATTATTTTCAATGAGCTGTTAAAAACCAAAATGAAGAGGTAAAAAATCCTAAATGATTTTGACTCAAGCAATTCTACAATATAACTTACAAAACTCTTGTTCAATTTTACCAAGCGATTCCCCAAACACGTATTAAGCTAACGGTATTCACCTCTTCAGTAGGTGGTAAAGGTTTACAACTCAACGCTGGCCTGTGGCTTTAGCATTCAACAAATGGCATGCAGATTTAAGAGAGTAAATTTGCAAGTCAAGCTTTTTTTATTGCTTATCAGTTGGAAGGAAAGCTTCCAACAAAGCAAACAGTCTCACTTCAATGTTAGAACATTAAAGTGTCATTTAAAATGCTTTCAGACGTTAACCGCTAATTTTAAAGAAATAAAGTACAGGAAAGCGATCAAGGGTTACCACTGTTGGTTGAGATTGGTACCTGGGTTGCAAGCAGTTGCATGCAGCCTGTGAAACGCAATACACAAAGAGCTTCCATCAACCCCCTCGGCCTTCAACCCTCCCCCTGTCCGCTCCATGTCCCACTCCGAATTTACTCCAGGGCCAGCACTTCCTGAGTGGCTGGTCACTGGCTGGGCACTGGTGCTGGGGTGGGGGGGCATTCCTGTCCAGTCGGTCCACATGTTTTATGGCTGCAGAGTAAAAGGCTAGGCCAGCCGGTAAGCACGTTTATCAAGTCACGCCAAAAGACATGGGCATGTTTGGATTGCTACAGACCGGTGGTCAGCTATACACTCTAAAATAACCTCACCGGTCTTTCTTACATATATATTGCAGTCACGAAAACTTCAAATCTAGAACTATATAACCTCTTACCATGGCAACTCTCTCTCCCACTTCAGCAAAAAAAAATCTTGCTGTGGTTTTCCCACCTGATACCTACGTGACTTTACCGAAAGAACCAAAGAGTATGGATCCCTGCAGTCACGAAAACGTCAAATCGAGATTGACCTCACCGGTATGTTCAACAGTGTTTGGCCGAATTTTGTTCCCTGCATCGTTCATCCCAACTTTAAATGTATAGGAATTCTTCATTTGCACTTTTTTGTAACTTAAAACTGATTTTATTATTGCAAGTGTTTATTTAATGTTTCCAACAGCATAGTTGTAATGGAAGTTGAATATATATATTATATGTACTCATTATTTACTAGGTATAGGTAGCCATTTACTTGGTGTTAGTACTTTAAAACTCAGCCAACAATGTCAAGTGTGTTAAATCATAGATCATTTGCATGTAACCTGCAGGAAATTTAAATTAGAGGGGCATGTTTTCCCATGGAAAATGAAACTAGATACGTTCGTGGAAGCACCAGCTCTCTTTGGCCACCATCCTGTGCCCTAGTGCCCTACCCACCTGTCAGATATCCATGGTACCTGTGATGACAGGACCTCTAAGCAGCTGCAGTATTTCAGAACTCCTCTTATGCTGCCAGATTTGTTTATTTTTCCACACCTCTAATATGAAGGTTGTCTAAACGCCAAGCATACCGTTGTACCTCGAGATGGGGTTTTTTAAACATTGGTATGAGTAATCAATTGCAATGTTGCTTTTATTTATTAAACACTTGCCTTGTCTATACATGGGAAATCAACGTCATCACGACTGGGTGGCTACTCTTGGATATTAGTTCCAGAGGTGGCTCTAATTAATATTTATTCTGCGTGTGTGGCACCCTTCATAATTTTTACGAAGTTGCTTTTTATGATATTTACAGGTAGTCAACTTTGGAAAAAATGCAGGCCTGTTGAACTTAGTTACACCCTTCTTATTTAGTATGCGCATAAAAAAAAATCGCTGACTTTGCCATGCCTGAATGCCAGATGCAAGGGTTAGAGTGATTCCTTAAGAAAACCATGGAGATAAAAGGGCATTTATCAGCAGGCTCCCAATTGAAATACTCGGTAAATATTCACCAAGCTTAAACAGATAGCTGGGCTCACAGCAAGCATCTGCTGCTGTTATTCAGAGCTTAGCTGGGTTTTGTTAAACAAAAGGCAAGAGTGGGAAGGAGGATTGTGGCCAGGGTGTAAGTGAGGAGGGCCAAGCAATCGGTTCGAGCAGAACTTCTAAAGCCACTAGAAATGAAGCATTCTAAAGGTTGCCTTGTGATGTTTTGCTTCTATCAAGCCAGCAGTAGACTATACTGAACTCTAAAAAATAGCAAAAGGGCAGTCATGGATTTAAATGAGGTTTTTATTCTCAAAGGTGCAGTTTTCATAAATTACTAACACTTATCTACTGCACTGCATTTCTTTTTACTTGGACATCTCTTCGAGTCGCATCACACTTAGGCTCACTACAAACGTCAGTTCACATTCATACTTGAGGCATGTGCGTATATGGGACTCGGCTTTAGACAAATTCTGGGAGATGAGTATGAATGTTGGTGCTGTATATCAGTAGGTGTAATGGGATTTGGACACAATCCAAACTGCATGGTAAACGAGAACCTACTCCAAAGCCGAATGCAAAGCATGTTTCCACAATGACACATAGTAAACATAAATACTATACTATACATAATACTAGACGAATCTTCAAAGGCATGACATCTGGATGAAATGCGAGCGAATGGATTGAAAGTTGACATGGCAATGCACAACAGAGAATTAGACTTAAAATAGCATGTACAGATGAGTATGAAAGGGACAAACAGCACGATTGTGAAAGAGTTGATGTTAGCATGGACTGAAACGCTTGTTAGATCTAATTAATAATTTTAGAAAAATTATCAACTTCCACAAAATACTTATTACGGAGTCAAAGTTACCAAACATTTATGACTATTACAAACCACACCTCTGCGCCCCCCCCACAAATCCCTCAATATCCAATATTCAGATTATCCAAATGCCACTGTTGGACTCCTCCTCACCCACACTCATGACCGAGACCACACCACCCCATTACTCCAATCTCTCTTCACTGGCTCCCATTCCAATTCCCGGGTTAATTTCAAGATCACACTCACCATATTTAAGATACTCAATGGACTCGCCGATGCCTATCTCCCTTTACTCTATTCCACACCCGTGATCTCCTACCTTTCCCTTCCATCTCACTCTACTCTGTATGTATTCTCTGTTCTTGCAACCAAGGCCTTCTATCAAGCCCCCAATAAACCTTTGCTCAATGGAGGTCACTCATTCTCCTATACTGCCTGCAAGGTCTGAGGCTCCCTTCCCCAAGCCATGCATAGCCATGGCAGTGTTGGCTCACAAAGTTGAATTAATTTACTCTTTGGTTATTTTAGTAGTCACGTAGGTAGAAATAAAATATAATAAAACAAATCACGACGTTTCGATCGCAACACAAGCAATCTTCATCAGGTGGAACAACCACAGCAAGAAAAAATGCTGAAGAAGACGAGAGAGCTGCCGTGGCAAGAGGTTATATATCTGGATGGCTTCATGAACAAACCTTTGATAATTGCCCGAAGGTTTGCAGAGTACCTTGGTTTCGGACAAAACAATATCATGCGAGCCCGCAGCGTTATAACAATGGTCAGCCACAGCAGAGGTATTGGTTCTGCCGTGTTTCAGATCTGCCCTGTGTTCGCGAACACGGTCCAAGACATGTAATTTAGTTTCCCCAATGTAACTGCTACCGCAGGTACAACTCAGTTTGTAGACTCCAGGATATTGAATGTCATAAATAACCTCCTTCACAGATGGGAGTAGATCACGGATTTTGTGTACTGTATTGAATCAGACCTGGATCTTGTGTTTGTTTAAGATTTTGGAAATCTTTTTGGTAACACCTGCTATGTATGGTAAAGTGATGGTTTTGATTGGTTTCTCAGGGGAACCAATACCAACCAAAACCTCTGCCGTGGCTGACCATTGTTATAACGCTGTGGGCTCGCATGATATTGTTTTTTTCCGAGACCAAGGTACTCTGCAAACATTCGGGCAACTATCAAAGGTTTGTTCATGAAGCCATCCAGATATGTAAACAGACATAACTTCAACCGAGAAGATGGATACAAATTGAGTAATCATTGGAAGGTTGTTATTAACCAGGTAAAGCCTGGTTGTGGTTGTTGTTTCCATCATACCCACTGGGTACTAGTAGATTTTTCCGAG